AGGAGAAGTCGTCAGGTGGGGCCGTGTAACACGAGAGGCCTTGAGTTGGGCTCCAAGGGTTACAAGTGACCTGGCTAATTGTGAGGTCAGGTCCGGCCTTTGTTCAGAGAGTAGGTTATTGTATATCGGAAGAGGGTCAGCTGGTGCCTTCTTACATGTTTTGTTGGGGCCACATGTCACATGGGAGGGGAGCTAGGCTGATTTACAATCCTTGGTCAACCGCAGAGTTACCCTATACTTTTGCCCTCGGCTAATGTCCGGTCAGACTGGAGTTTCTGAGATGTAAGCTGTGGTCTGACAACCCCTCACTACACCTCCCGCCAAGACCAAAGCTTACATGCTCAGAGAACTGATGATACATTTAAAGTAGACAGTAACATCATGTGCAGTATCTAATATAGTCCCTCAGGCGATAATGCATCCTTACATTTTACAAATAATAACCCTAGAGATGTATGTTTTTCTACTGGCATAGTTTGATCTGACAAAGCTTACTATACCTCCCGCCAAGATTAAAGCTTCTATGACAGGAGAAAAAAATAAAATACATACACAGTAATTGAACATAGAGTGATCTAAAGATCCTTCATATCTAGCATAGTGTCCGAGGCAAACTTGCAAATCACATTCTACAAACAAAAACAGGTGTTACATTGCCTAACCAGGCCGTGTCAAAATAATAATTCATCTCAGTCAGTAAATGGCTACAACATTGTGTTTGGTAATACAAAACATTGATCAAATGAACTCATAGAAAAAGTGACTAATCTTTTTTAAAAAAACATTCTTTGTAGTACATGTTAACAAAAATCAGAGAATTAAATACAAAATACAAAATGCTCCTACTTCACATGTTAGGGTGTTATATCTTTTTATTACACACAGCAACATCAACAACATCAGTACATTTGTTGGGTTCAGCATGGCTCAAGTCCTCCATCCAGCTGGTATCTGAAAATAAGGAATGCTGGCAGCACAACAACGGTAGTCGATTGGTCCTTCTGATTATCCACCTTGTCATCGTCGACTTTCTTCTGATGTCAGCACAGCGTCTCTTCTGTCTTCACATAGCACGTTTTTCTTTCTTCAATACCGCACTTTGTAGGTCGTGTCACCACATCTGACTTCTTCTCACTTCCTCCTGGTTTCTATCCTATTCCAGATGATTTTTCTGTTCACCTGTTCTTCCTCTACGTTTAGAGCCTTTTCATATTCCAGACGATTTTTCTGCTCGTCTGCGTTTCTTTATACATCTTCGTTTTCCGTCATATTCCAGATGAATTTTTCTGCTTCATCTGCATTTCTTCTCTGCAACATCATCATTTTCAACATATTCCAGACGATTTTCTGTTCATCTGCCGTCGGCCCTCTCCGGCTGGGATGAAGCCGGTCCACTGTTTGGGCTGTCGTCTCATTAGATAACTCGTAAGGCAGGTTCCGCGGACCAGGCCTCGCCCTCCGTACGTGAGTGTCGGCGAGACCAAAGACCGTCCTGTCTTACACCTTCCACAGTGGTGAATCCCTCCCTGGCTGGGCTCACCAGGGTTCGTTGTGTGGCACTTCATTCCACACTCCTTAACTTCCTAGTAGAAAAATATAAACTCTTCTTAATCCTAGACCAGGTAGGACTTGAAAGAAGTGGGGGTGGTGCGTGGCGGGTGTGGTGCTGCATTCCTCACGCTGCATTCCTCACGCTGCTACTTCTCTTCTTATATGTGCTGTGGACGGATTCCGGCTAGCCATGGGGCGGTACTGTGTGTGACATTTGACAGAAACAATCCTAAAGGGATGATGGATTAGTTGGAAGTGCATTCGCAAAAAAAAAACAGATATTTACTTTATAAGTTACGTCAATGTTTGGTAACTATTATTTCCGTCACGACAATTTTCTCATTAGGCTGGGTCGGGGAGTGAAGCTCTGCTCACTACATTGAATATTATTTATCACTACGCGTCAAAGAGTACATTACAAATCATACTAGCATAAAAACACACTGAGTGAAGCTCTGTAATTATCGCAATGTTAAGTAACACTAACCACCAATTTCGAAGCATAACTCACAGGACAAAACATTGGTGGTCACCCGGGCGGGCGGGGCGGGAAACATTCGGCCATGATGCGCGCGTGACCTAGGGAAGGCGTACCCGGGACGGGGCGCGGGGCGGGGCGGGGCGGAGCGGAGCGGAGCGGAGCGCAGCGGGGCGGAGCGGGGCAGGGCAGGGCAGGGCAGGGTGGAGCGAGGCGGGAACGGATGGGTACGGAGGGTGAGGTGAGGGTTAGGACAGGGAGGAGGATGTAGGTTAAAAGACATGTTAAGTTATAACAGTTAGTACAGACACCGCTTCTATCGCTAAAACACAATGGGTACATTTAACACTGACCGACAATTAAAAAGCACTTGGGATACTGAGAATTTCACAGAACGCGGGGAACACTGAGAAATTACGTTAAGCACTGAACATATTTCTAGACAAAAAAAAAATTCGCGCATACCACGACGAGAGACATTTACTTGAGCTGTAACGGTGACACACTAGGCCACTTTTCACGCTACGACACGGGAATTACTTATTACACAATTGTAGACAAACTTAGACTGAAACAAATGAAGGATGAAACGAGCCAGGTGTTATGGCTAACCGAGGGAAGGCGTGAGTTTACGTTAAGTTCGCTGCTACCATTATAATAACTAAGCGAGGGAGGCGTGAATTACATATATAGTTCGCTGTCACCTATAACAAGAGACAAGGAGAGCGTGAATTACATATAGTTCGCTGTCACCTATATAATGTAACTATATCTTGCATGAACTCCTTATCACGCACTTTCGAACAATACTCAAACAACGAGTCAGGTGTTATGGCTAAAATGAGGGAGGGCATGGGTTTACGTTAAGTACACTGTTACCAATAACAAGGGACGAGGGAAGCGTGAATGCCACCAATATAATGTTACGAATGCAACCACCCTTGTACTGCCTGCTTCGTCAAGATAGTTACGAGATTACTTCAAAAGATTCTAACTATCACTGTACTGAACACTAAAGTTAAGAGGCGTGAGTATTACGTTAAGGCGCTGCCACCATTGTAATGCTACAAAAATTTACACAAGATGATTAATATATATATAAGAAGAATATTTAGTAAGAGAGTAAAAGAGAGGAAGACTTTGGTAGCGTGGCCGTGATAGTTATTTACACTGTCAGTACACTTATCGTATCTTATACGTCAATACACTTCTATTACGTCTTAAGGGCGACTTCTCAAACACTGCTTCGTTACAACTCTTTATTAATTAACGACATGACATGGACCCATTAATAACACCTTCTATTGAAGTTACTAGGACATTATGTTTACGTTACTAGGACATCATATTACGTTACTAGACACTCTGATTCTCGGACACGAACATGAAATGAATACACTTCCCACGTAAGTAACTCATCCCACGGAAAGCTCTGACAAACACTCACGTGACCTAGGGGAGGCCTAGCAGGTAGTCTGCTTAGCGGGACCACTGGTGTCGGGAGGGCGCCTGCTTAGCTGGGACACCGGAGGGAAGTCTCGGTCCTGACCGGAGGCGGCTTGCCTCCGGCCCTGACTTCGCTGGAGCAGCACTAGTGGTGTCGTAGCTGGCCACCTTGTTACAAGACAACTACTTCTCTGCGAATCCTGGAGGGAGGACCAGGACGTCCTATATATTGGGAAGCGAGCCGTCAGGTTCAGCTGGCCTGGGGGGCGGCGAAGGGTCTCCTTACATTTGACCCCGCAAATGTGCGGTCAGGCCTGGACTTTTTCAGAACTATCTGGGAAAGTCATCAGGTGGGGCCATGTGTATATTGGGAGAGCAACCGTGAGAGTTCCCCTACACTTGACTTCCCAAACGTCGGGTCAGACTGGAGTTTCTGAGATGTAAGGAGAAGTCGTCAGGTGGGGCCGTGTAACACGAGAGGCCTTGAGTTGGGCTCCAAGGGTTACAAGTGACCTGGCTAATTGTGAGGTCAGGTCCGGCCTTTGTTCAGAGAGTAGGTTATTGTATATCGGAAGAGGGTCAGCTGGTGCCTTCTTACATGTTTTGTTGGGGCCACATGTCACATGGGAGGGGAGCTAGGCTGATTTACAATCCTTGGTCAACCGCAGAGTTACCCTATACTTTTGCCCTCGGCTAATGTCCGGTCAGACTGGAGTTTCTGAGATGTAAGCTGTGGTCTGACAACCCCTCATCGTCCACGAGTTATATTGTGGGTCATTTAAAGTGCATGTAGGTGACTGATGTAGATTGTTATTAATTCAAACTAAATCCGATGTTGAAATCCACAACTGTTTTAAATGTGTGTACAAACGTGGAATTAAACAGCAGAATTTATATAAATTTTCTTCTTTATTAAAATATTTCATTTCGTAATGCTTAATAGAAATTCTTGTTAGCTGTTTGCATGAATGACTTTTCAGATCATCCACCATCTTAAAAGAAAGAATAAATTCCAAACTATTCGTCTTCTTTAAAAATTCAGCCAGATCACTACTTGTTCCTTATCACTTTTTTATATTTTGTTTTAGACCAACAGGTCCTTCACCGCTCTTGTAGTAGAGGATATTATTGTACGAGACTCATTACTTAAAATATTGTTGCCGTCAGTGGTGGAACTTGCCTCCGTTTAATATTCATTCACTAGTTCTCAAACTGCCTCCCAGGATTAACCTGACGTACACAGACGTGTTTCATTAAGTGTATTTACTTATTGTTTTCACAAGTACACTAAACACAAGTCTCCAGAGACCTTGGTGTATCCTTCTCTTTACAAGGGACAGTCACCAGCGTCAGGCACCTCCATAACAGTTCATGCACACTGTTGACCATCACAGATGTTCTCATGGCGGTGAAAGCGTTGGGAGAAGAATTAAAGGTTTATTATGACGATGATCTCCAGTATTGTCAACCACAGTTAACTATAAGATATTAAGGCACTAATGGTCTTGGTGACAATATGTTACAG